GACATATCGCCTCCGTACCTTGCTTGTGCGTTGCTGCGTGTACGGTTGTTGTGTCGCACCCTGCATGCACCTCTACTGTGCAGCCATGCCTGGCCTCCTTCCTGTCCCTTCTGCTCCGTGACTGCTCCGCGATCACATCGCCCTGGCTCACTGCGCAACTCCGATGATGTGTTGTGTTTTATGCAAGGCGGAGACAATTGCCAGGATTGCAGAGTACATCAAGGCAAACCCTCGCGCATCGGAGCAGGAGAAGCAACACGTCATTCGCAAGGAAATGGAGAAGTTCATTCGTGAAATCGCCAAAGATCCCTCCTCCTCCGCCTCCTCGTCATCATAATGATGTCTGCGTTATGGTGGTGAGCGTATTTGCGTCGCGTTGTCATGTTTGTTCATCTTTCTGTGCTGCTGGACCCACTGCTTGCTTTCATTTCTTCCGTTCTTCCTGCCCTGTACAGCTTTCTTTCTCCCTCTGCTCAAACGCTGCTGTGGTTGTTTAATCGAGCACTGATCTGCTATTCAGACAGTGCAGGCAAACACACTTCGTGGACATAAAAGGCCTGTAACAACCCATGTGTGCAGGCATGTGTACGTGTGTGTGTGTGCGGCGAATCGTACACCATTACTAGAATGTGCTTGCGAGCTTCCCACAAACACACACACACTCTCCCTCCCTCCCTCCCTCCCTCTCTGTCTGTCTGTCTCTGTCTGTCTGTCTCTCTCTCTCTGTCTCTGTCTCTCTCTCTCTGTCTCTCTCTCTCTCTCCCCCCCCCTCTCCCCACTCTCTCGCTACTTTGGTGCGAGCGCGGAGAAGAAGTAGAGGGCTGCAAGCAGCGCAATGGCCCTCAGCACAACGCCGTGCTGTGGCGTGTCCTTGGGCAGAAGGATGAACACAAGCGCGTTGAAGGCCGTCGCCAGCGTGCGGCTGATCACCATGAAGATGAGCGTGCACACTACTGCATTCAGAACCGGATATCCAGGTAGCAGCACCAGCACACCCTTTGTATCCACCGCCAACCACACGTGATACTGTGCCAGGAACAGCTCCAGCGAGGTCTGCAGCGCACGTGTGGACATGTGCGTGTGTGTGTGTGTGTGCGTGTGTGTGTGTGTGTGTGCATTGTGAACAACAACAACGGCAAACAACGTCAAATCATTCCACATGCCCAGCAACTTGACACAACAACAATCTCTGACACCACTCAGCGCAACAACCTTTCCCTCGCAACACAACAACAACCACCACCTCCCTCCCCCCGCCTTCCGCTCCACCTCGCCACCCAGCTACAACACAGGCACGCCACAAACCTTGCCGCACTCGGCGAAGAAGGCGCTATAGAGTGAGCGCAGGCGGTGTGTGCTGTTGCGCAGAACAACAAACGCCGCCAGCAGCAGCGGCGACAGATATACGTGGCGCGCGTTGCAGTGCGGCTGCCGTCGGCATTGGGACAGGTGGAGGCGCACGCGTGCATGGGATAACCCCGTGGTGTGAACAACAGTGAGCACAAGCGGTGTGTGGTGTGTAGGTATGTATTGGCCTCTCCTGCGCCAGTGAAATGTTGTCAACGCGGCTTAAACATGTACACATCTGCGTACACATGCATAGGTACGAAATGTACACACACACACACACACGCACACACGCACACACACATACACACACACACACGTGTTCATACCTTGCTTTCGCAAGTTTGCGCAAACCATAGGTAGCCTGCGCACGCGGCGGCAGAAAGCGCAATTGCAGTCGTCATCGTTGCACGCGAGGGGGCGTTGCCCGTGTGGATAAAATGTCCAACGATCATTCCCGCTGCTGCCGCCTAAACAGGAGGAGACATGTGCAGCACAACGCGCGTGTGAATGAGCACAGCGATCTACAGCAGCAAGTGTTGTTCAATGCTTTTAGGATGTGCGAACAACACAACCGCAACAAACAAATCAGCACACACACACACGCACACACACACGTACACACACACATGCAAGCACATGCACACATGCAAGCACATGTACATATGCAAGCACGTGCAAGCACATGTACATATGCGCTCGCGCGTACGTATCGGTCGAGTCCTGATCTGAATCGCCACTCGTGCAAACTTCCGTTCAGCTCAACCAACTGCAGTCGTATTGCGTGCATGCACACGCGCACGCATGTTGTGGACAGCGAGGTGACAGTGAGACGAAAGGCCGTGTCCATCAAAGCACATGCAGTTGTTGCTTGTCAGAGACAAACGCAAGACGACTGAATGGAAAGAAGTGTGGATGGGCAGAAGGATAGTTGGATGAATGGATAAAGGACAACAGAACCAAAGGATACATGGATGGTTGGATGGAAGACCGAAAGGGGTTGAGTGGTGTGCGGTTGCCACTCACAGGGGCGAGGAGCTTGTGGTCGAAGATAAAGTCAAACACGGGCGTGGCTCCGTCTTCTGTCTCGTAATACAAAACTGGCACACGGACACGTCCAGGTGAAGGTGGAACAATGGGTGTGTGAGCAGGGAAAAATGAACGTGGTGATACGTGCATGCGCGTGAAGCGTCAATGCTGCCAACAGTGTTTGTGTTTGTGTGTGTGTGTGTGTGTGTGTGCGTGTGTGTGTGTGTGTGTGTGCGTGAAGCGTCAATGCTGCAAACAGTGCTTGTGTGCGTGTGTGTGTGTGTGTCACAAACGACAGGTGCTCTTGTACACAGATGCCTCATGTAAGGCACACCCACGTGCTGCGATGGCGATGAGCGTGAATGGTTTGACTAGCGCCAGGCGGCCGTCCAGCCCGCGAAGTGCCCACATCACCAAGCAAACCTGGAAACGCACGAACGGCTCGTTGTGGGCAATGTCATGGCTTAACTGCATCTAAAGTCACGCACATACACACACACACGCACACTCACACTCACACAACACACACACAACACACACACACACACACACACACACACGACACACTACACACTCATCCCGATGAATGTCAGGTGTCTACCCTTCATCCCGTCCCCCATACTGAGATTTTCCCAAGAATCCCCGGGTTTGTACCATGTTCTAGAATGATGCATGGGCCCATCAAGCTAAGGTGATGTGGGAAGTGACTCTTAAAAGCATCGCCCCATCGGTGGGGAGTAAGTAGTCCACAGTCTAGTATGGTAACGATGATAAATTCAAGAGCCCGTAGTGAGTATCAGTCGACGTATTACTGGATATAGGGGACGTTTGGAAGCGCCCAGGTAATACTATCGGGAACTTTCTTAACCGGGAACACCAGAACCTTTTACGTATTATTCCCATCAAGCCGTCTCTGAGCATTAAGTAGGCTACGCGGTTAGTCCAATATACGTCGACACACACACACACACACACACACACACACACACACTACACACACACTACACACGACACACTACGACACACACACACACACACACACACACACACACACACACACACACACACACACACACACACACACACACACACACACACACACACACACACACACACACACACACACGCAACAGTGGTGGTTGTAGCTGACACGCGCACACGCACCATTAAGAACCAGAAGGTGCTGAGGGGAACAAAGTAGTAAAACTGGTACGTGCGGTTCATGGTCATGGAGAGGAAGAGCGTGAAGATGTTCACACGGAGCACAACCTGCCACGTTTGCACACACACACATATGTGCACACACGCACACACGTGCAATCATGAAGTGAAAGGCATGTCATGTTGTGAGACACGAGAACACGTTAATGAGCCTTTGATGGCTTGCAAACACCCACATGACCAACCAAACAACCAACCAAGCACACCAAACGAACAACCACACCGCACAGACACACGTGCGCACCATGGTAATGCGGTGCCAAGTGAATTCCTTCTTTTGTGTAAAGTAGATGTAGTGCCCAAACCCGGTCATGAAGATGTACGCGGCGACACACACGCGGATGAAGACGTAGATGGACAGAACCTGCACCGCGCACCCAATGAAACCACAGGGCATGAGGGCAGGGAAGGAAGGAAAAAGCACAAACTAGTGTGCGCGTGTGTTGTGTGCGTGCGTGTATATGTGTGTCTGTGCGTGTTTGCAGCGACGTGTTGACCGCGTGCATCCGTCGTCAGTCACTGTTGTGTTGTACACTTCGCTGTGTGTGTGTGTGTGTGTGTGTGTGTGTGTGCGTGTGTGTGTGTGTGCATATATAAACTCACCTGGGATGCGCCTGTGTAGTGATAGAGCAGAAAACACAACTGCATCCACCCTTTCCACTCATCGGTCTGTGCACGTGCAAAGGGGGCGGCAAAAGGAAGAAATGAGGGAACAGGCGATAGGATGAACAGGCGCACAAGCGTTTTTACCCATGCATGGGTGGTTTTAAAAACTAATACACCTTCGTGCGTGGGCATATGGACATGTGTAATACACGTGTGTCAACACAGCACCATCATCATCACCACCACAATCGTCATCATTATCGTCACCTGGTCGCGGTTGAGGGCGCCCGCCTTGGCTGATGTGCGGACCGACACGAGCCCAAGCTGAACAGACACGCACATGTGCAAAGGGATGTGTGTGAATATTTCTGAAAAACACACAAATGCACGCCAACACACACAGACACACACACACACACAGGCGGACACACACGCGCGCGCAAATGTTAACAGAGTACATCAACATCCATCGGACTGACAGCAAGGATGGCGAGGCAGCCAAGGGAGAAATGGGACCACTGAAACTCTTTCGCCGCCACCATGAACACGCCCGTCCTGCAATCGCAGGCCGCGGTGCGTGTGTGTATGTATATGTGTGTGTGTATGTGGTGTTGTTGTTTGTGGCGTCAGACATTAACAGCAGCAGGTATGCATGCAGTGTTGCGTTGTGTGAACACATTGTCACACATACGCGTTCGCGTGCAAACACACACGTACACGAACCTGTCTGCGATGAAGATGAAGATCATGCAAAGTGCAACGGTTGAGACAACAAACAAGCGGGGGTGCGTTTTCTTCACCGCAGCTGCAGCCTGTGCGAAGCTGTCAAAGAACCTGCAAGAAACACATGTACAGATGTATCGCATTTACGCATGAGTGCTCAAGGAATACAACTGCTGCCACAATGAACACACGTAACACAAATATGCGCGCGCACACACGCACGCACACACACACACACACACACACACACACACACACACACCACATGCACTGTACGCACACGCACCGTGTGCTGCGGGGAGGGTCTGCGAGTTTGTCTGCGATGCGGCGTCGGTTCAACACGAGAAGCGCAACAAACGCGCAGCTGTCGAAGGAGCGGGAGCAAGAGGACAAAACAAGAGCGAGTGGTGGCGGTGAGATGAAAGGTGACCAGGTGGCGTGTTGCAACACCACAACGCACGCAATAATGCCCTGTCCACCATCAGACACCACGACATGCAGCACGACAGGTCACAACACAGCGCAACACCAACGCACCATCCTGCAAACGTGGCAAGGACGAGCCACTGGTGGGGCGCGGTTCGCTCGGGCGCGGCGCAGCAGGTGCGGCTGCCACGACGAAGAGTGCGCACACCATGACAGAGGTGGTTCAGCAGCAGGTGGACCTGCCGCGGTTGGTGGTGGTGGTGGTGGTGGTGGTGATAATGATGTGTTGGTGGTGGTGGTGGTGGTGGTGGTGGTGATAATGATGTGTTGGTGGTGAGGGTGGTGGGTGTTGGGTGTGTTGGGTGTTGGTGATGTGACCGTGAATGATGTGGTCAGAAACAACAACTGCATGAGCAGCAAACACCAAAGGCAATAGCAACAACAATGAGACATGGGCACACACACATACACACACACACACACACACACACACACACTTGTTTCGGCAGAGATGACTCAAAGTGCAGCCCATCCTCAGTCTCGGTAAAGTCTACAAGCGATGAACGGAAATGTGCCCATAAGAATACACGCGCAAATACACATGTACATACGCATGCCCGAACACACACACACACACACACACACACACACACACACACACACACACACACACACACACACACAAACAAACACTAAAACACACAAACACACAAAGCACACAACCACCTGCGGCCACATCAAGGATGCGATCTGCAAAGACGACCAGGTCGCCCTGTGTGTTTCTGCTGTCCGCAAACACGTGTTTGCACCGCGCGTTGAAGTGATGGATGACGTTGTTTGTGATCGCTTTTCGCGACTCCCACAGCAGTGACTCGTCAACCCTGCAGCGGCGGCGGTTGCATGGCACTGGCACGCAGCTGAGTGATGTGATGTGGGGGCGCACACGGTATGTGCGCAAAGGACTTGTGCTATATGCCCGTCACGAGTCACAAATGAACACACATGCGTGCGCGTGTACAAGAGTAGTGGCTGTGACGCACCTTGAGATTGGGAGCCAGTATATGGGCGTCGCTCGCGGGATTGCACTCATGGCGTCTCGTAATTGCTCCGCTTGCTGTCATTGCAGAAGAGCAGTCGTTGTTGTTGTTGTTGCACGCGACGGCCCGTGAGAATGCACCATAACATGTACACACACGCACGCACACCCACACACACGCGCATACACAGGAGGGGTACCTGCACTAGTGTGTCGATGGGTTCGCCACGCTTCATCGCCCATAGTCCAGCCGAGTGTACGATCATGGCCGGTGCACGTGTGCCGCTCTGAATGTGGTGGCAGCGAAGACGGTGACAGCTGGCCTCCATCGGGTGCAATGCACACACACACACACACACACACACACACACACACACACACACACACACACACACTGACGCAGACAAGAATACACACACTGACACAGACAAGAATACACTGCACAAACAGCTCACCTGCAGTGCTGCAGCCCAGTCGCTGTAGAGGCGCTGGACGTCAGCGGAGATAATTTCCGGTTGCCACAGGAACGAGAGGGACACGTTGGTGGTGTTGTCCGTAAAGTGGATGTCTTGGTGCCGCTGCTCAGTGGTCACCTCAAAGGTTGGATCAAATGTTTGCACGAGCGCCTGATATTGACGATGTAGAGCACCGCAGGTGCTGGCTGGGTGAGAGGGTGGGGGAAGGGAGGCTATCGGGGCACCGCACACACACACACACACACACACACACACACACGCACACAGACTTACGCACACGCACGCACACCTGAAAGAGCTGGCGTACGCGTGAGTCTCCAATGAACACGGCAGTGTCTCCGTTCAGGCAGGAGGCAACATCTGACCGCCTGTTCAACGCCCACCCCAGTGCACAAGGATATGAGAACATGCATCTGAACACACACACACACACACACACACACACACACACACACACACACACACACACACACACACACGTACACATGCGGCACTGACTTTGACGTGTACGGATGCAGTAGACAGCTGTTTGGATTCCAGGACGTCCGAAACCAGTGGCCGTCCTGAACATATGAAAGCAGAACAGAAAGAGAAGAGTACACTATGAGCAAGTTGTTGCTGTTGTTGTTGTTGTTGTTGTTGTTGTTGTTGTTGTTGTGTGGAGCGTGTGACACGGTGTGGAGCGTGTGACACGGTGTGGAGCGTGTGACATGGTGTGGATTTCGTGCTGCGTCTCTGAGGGTACGCACCCCGACAGCTTCGTCCAGGAAGAAGGAGGCCTTAGTGACCGTTGGCTGGCACACATCCTCTGCACAAAAGGGGTGCGTGTACGAGCACACGTCAGGCTGCAAGCGTGAGCAGCGACAGACACACAATCATCATGCACACGCATGCAAATGCATGCCTCGATGTCTCAGTGCTGTTGTCCGCAAGCACACACAGAGGGGTGCACGCGTACACGTGTGCACATACACTCGCACACACGAACGCGCGCGCGCACACACTCGCACACACACACACACACACTCGCACACACACACACACACACACACACACACACACACACACACACACACACACACACACACACACACACACACACACACACACACACACACACACACACACACACACGTGCACACTGAACTGTGCTTGGGACTCACGGAGTTGGTCTCGGACCATATGGAAGCCAGTGAACATGAGAGCGCATGCAACCACCACCACCATGATGGAGTTGTATTGAAGCCATGGATACGCAGCAAGGAAGGGAAACACTGGCGGCTCTGGCGCTTTAGACTTCTTTGCCGTTGCTGTTGCTGCTGTGGCTGCTGTGGCTGCGGTCTTGCTGTCCTTGGTGTCGGTGTTTGCTTGAACGCCGTTGCCTTGTTGAGACGTGCTGACAGTGTCAGTCGACCTTGCCCTGGCATTGTCGTCGTTGGTCCCGCTGTGCCTGTCGTGGCTGTGCTCTTCTTCTTCTTCCTCTGGTATCGCTACTGTCACTGCTGTACTGTCCCCTCCTTCCCTATCCCTCAAGTGCTGCCCACCGCCGCCCACGACGACACCGCCATCGCCCCGCTTGCCCTTCATCGTCTCGCCTGCGTCAGCACCAGCTCCAATGCTCGACTGGCTGTGGATGGATGGATGGATGGGTGGATGTGTCCTCCTCTCCTTCCACAAGCTGTTTTATTCTCCTCCTCCCACAACAACAACACAACAAAAACAACAACGCGAAGCAACAAGCGCACCGTTACACAGACTTCTCTCCTGCTGCTGTGCTCGCTTCACTCCTCGCACTGTGTGCCCGCTGTGCTCGCTTCTCTTGCACGCATCGCTGCTGTTCCACTCGTCGCTAGCCAGCATGGCGGACGGAGAGGCGGGTGTATTTCACATGCTCGTCACAGGCGCCGTTGAGTGTGGTCACGTAAGCCACATGTATGTATGTGTATGTGTGTGTGTGTATGTGTGTATGTGTTGTATGTGTGTGTGTGTGTGTGTGTGTGTATGCGTGATAGTAGCTACTTGCATGTTGGACCGACGCCCAGTCTGTTTGCACCCTTCTGCATCGAGCATGCCGCTATCCTCCCCCCCCCTCACTCCCACCACCCCGCACACATACGCACACATGCGGCTTGCAGTTTCCAACTTACAACAACCTGTACTGCAAGTACACCATCGTATTTGGCGATCATTGGACAGCTACAGCGGTGCGTGTTTGTGTTTGTTGCCAACAGCCGTTCACTGTATGAAAGCAGCCACAGCATGTGTTCTCCGCTCGACTCACTTAACTTGTTCACACACACACACACACACACACACACACACACACACACACACATACAAACACACACACACACACACACACACACACACAAACACACATACACATACATGTGCAGGGCATTGAGGAAGGCGTGTCACAGATTGCTTCGCGCAGCTCGCATCACCCTGGGGAGTTTGTGTGGAACTTTCCCATCGACATCACTCTCAAGAGCCAACTGCCAAGAGGATGTAAGTCACCCCGAAGCGAGGAACCATGGAGTGGAGTACAGCGCAACAGCCGTCATGCTGTAACGCTGTCGTGCAAACTGAACATGTTTGCCGTGTGTCCTCTGCCTCGAAGGTTCACGCCGCTGTCGCCACACACAATCCGCGTTCTGTTTGTGACCAGGGCCACAGATTGTTGTGGCTGTGTATGGACTCGACATGTTTGGGCGGGACATTGTTCGCGGGTACGGCACGTGTCACCTGCCGGTCACAGCTGGCCACCACACACTCAAGATTCCAACCTTCGCCCCACGCCCGACAACAAGATTACAGCACATTCTCGGGTATGCTGGCATCGTGTTTGTGCGTGTGTGTCTGATCTGTGTCTGTGCGTGTGTGTCTGAAAGGTGTCTGCGCGTTTGTGTGTCTGTGCGTGTGTGTGTGTGTGTGTGTGTGTGTGTGTGTGTGTCTGTGTGTCTGTGTGTGTCTGTGTGTGTCTGTGTGCGTGTGTGTGTGTGTGTGCGTGTGTGTCTGTGTGTCTGTGTGTGTCTGTGCGAATGCGTGTTTCTACCCCTCTCTCTGTATGCCCGTCTGCTCTCGCTTCTCAAGAGCCCTCGCTCACCAACGACCCATGTTCACACACACACACATAAACACACACATACTGTCTCTCTTCCTCCTTGTGTGAAGGTGGTTCCTGGGACAGAGGCCAGAGTTCTATGAATCAACGTTTGTCGCAGCGGGCGAAGGAAGAGAAGGTAGGGTATCGTGTGCAGCCTTCGTCTGCTGCTCTGCCATCGCAAATTCGCATCTCCACACATCTTTGTCTCAACACCTCTGTATCCTCACATACACATACACACACACGCACACGCACGCACACGCACACGCACACACACGCACGCACGTACACACGCACACACACGACCGTCATCATTGCAGTTGTGCGTGTGCGATCACATGGTCACGTCATTGTCAAGTGCAACGTCGCATTCAAGGATTTTCACCGTCTTGGCTTTCACAATGCGCCCTCGAATCAAAACTAGCCCATGTTTTGCTGTAGCATGACAACCAACGTGCATTCGCTAGTGATCGCTGTCCATACTATCCACGTGTTTTCATTCTCCAACATGTACACACACACGCACGCATAGTCGCTCTTCTTTGACATTTCAACAGCTCTTGTCCATTCTCTTCCTTCCCTATGACCTGTGTTGTTTGTTACCTTCGCGCCAACTGGCAATTCAAAGCTGACTTGTTACCAGGGTGCACTGTGTTACAACATGCAGGCTGCATCGCACACACACACACACACACACACACACACACACACACACACACACACACACACATACATACACACCGCACCCCCGAGTGTGTGTTCATACACATGCGTACATGAACATGGGTACGTGCCTTGGTGTGCTGTTTTGTTTGTTGTATTGCATGAATCATGCCTCAAATTGCAATTCCCTTTGCGCTTTCACATAGGCGGCACCAATCAAAATGCAGCATAAACCAAACACCACCAGCTCACCCCCAATACAGACTCAATCAATCAATCAATACCAAGAAAGCAAGCACACAGCATCCGCATTCCACACAAACTTTCATCCCTCGTGCATGCTTACCACACACACACACACACACACACACACACCCCTCACCCCCCCCCACCTCACCACCATCGCTCCATAAACACCGTCGCCCCCGACTCTAAACGACGACAGGTGCCTCATTCACCCTGCCGCTCACCCTCCTCATTTCTGTACAATCCCACCACACAGACACGAGCGTGTTTCCTGTTGATATCACTGCGCTCTCTCTCCTCCCCCTGTCCTTTCCTCAACACTTTCTCCCTCATGTGCATGCACACGCAAACCTCAAGTAGCCGTCCGCCGCTGCTGTCTCAGCCCACCCAGCTGCTGTCCTGCAAACGCCTTCGTCGGGGCAGTGGTGCCCTTGCCTGCAGGCAGCTTGTTCGATGCGTCCCCAAGTGCATGCCGCACCCGCTTTCCGTCGCCGCTGTTCTTGGTGGCTTGCTTGGCGACCATCCTTCCGTGAGCTGTTGTCGTTGTTGACGACGTGCGCGGGCGGGTGCCCGTCTGCATCGCAGTCTGCTCGTCCACAGTCTTCAACACGACAACTTTCTCGCGGTTTGTGCCCCTCGCGCGAGTCTGTAACGCCTGCAGCTGTTGCCACCGCGGCTGTGACCCTTGCGCCGTTGTCGAAGTGGACGGGCCGCGGATCGTTGGTGCCGTTGTCTGCTGCCTCCGATAATGCAGTTGGCGTTGATTGAGCGCGCGTTGCTGCTGCTGCTGCTGCTGTTGTTGTGCTGACGACGCTGAACGCAGTTTCATTTCTTTCACTTGCCCCACACGCGCATTTCCTGTCTTCTGCTGGGACTGCAAGTACGATGTTAGCACCTGCGGCTGCCGTGAGCTGGAAGAAGTGCCAGCCTTTGCTGCCTCGTTCATCTTCACGGCTTCACGCGTGGCAATACGCTGCTCGGGCCGCACGTACAGCGAACGAGAGCGGGGTGCTGAGCCACGCGATGCCGTTGCTCCTGTCCTCGATGCAATTGCGTCTGCAGGCACCTTCCGTGCATGGAACTTTGGCGGCTCCTGTTGATACTTGAGGGACGACGATGGGCGAGGGGCTGCCACGCGATGCATGGGGTGGCGGCGGGTCGGCTGCTGTGACAGCTGGCGGTGCTTTGGACTCTGCATTCCATCACCGCGCTGGGTGAAGTGCATGGGCGGATTCATGGCCATAGCACGCGCCATGTCGTCCTCTGTCTCCTCAGGGATCGGTGGCAGGTTTGCACACCGCTTCACGCGCATGTGAGCTCGGCCACGAAGCGTGTGGAACCGCGGGCGCAGCTGCATGCGGATTTCGCTCCTTGTTTTGTCCTGCACATGGGGTGGAGGACGACGTGCCTGCGCAGACTTGGCGCTCTGCTGCCGTGATTGTTGTTGTTGCTGCCGTGATTGTTGTTGTTGCTGCTGCTGTTGCTGTTGTTGCTGTTGCTGTTGTTGTTGCTGTTGCTGCTGCTGGTAGTGTCGCTGCTGCTGCTGCTGTTGGTGGTGGTGTTGGCCATTTCGTACCATTGCGTGTGGCTCATCCCGGTGGGTTGCGCGTTGTTGTTGAAGGTGTTGTCCATTATCAACAGCAGCAAGATATTCACTGAGATCAAGGTCGTCCTTCGGAAAGGAGACGGCTCTCAGCCACACCGTCCGCAGTGATGGCGCCCGACTCTGTGCCTAACAATGCGTTGTTTGTTTGTTTGTTTGTTTGTTTGTTTGTGTGTGTGTGTGTGTGTGTGTGTGTGTGTGTGTGTGTGCTATTCGTGTGAGTGTGCACATGATGAGCGGAAGAGGGCAGAATCAGCGACCATATACCGACTTGGGTTTGCACACAAGCACAGTTTGGCACAACCACACAGTCACTCCCGCATGCATATTACCCACAGCGTGTTCATGACACATGAACAAACGCACACCAGCGCACTCACATCGTTTTCTTTGGCGGCGCTTTTCTCCGGGCGGGTGCGCATGCTGACATAGATGGGCTCATCCCGTCCTCTGTCACCGCGCAGCTGATGATGGCTCCTCAGCCTGACATCATCGCTGTTGTCTGTTCCTTCAACTGAACCGCCTTCGCTGCCACTCGAAGAGGGTGGTGTGCTCTTTGGTGCGTGCATTTCCCACTCACTCGCTCCAACCGTCGCTGAAGTTGCTGCCATTGTGGCTGTTGCTGCTGCAGACATCTTGGTAGTGGTTGGGGCAGTTTGCATTTGACGCAGCGGATGGGGGCGTGCTGCTGCCGCGTGTGCGTGCTCTTGCTTATGGCCTGCTTCTTGCTTCTTGTCTGCGACCGTCTCTGTGTGCTGGCGCGGTTTCTGCTCAGTGCTGCTGCTGCTGCTTGCCTGGCTACTCGCGCAAGCACCCGTGTATGTGTCGTACACTGGGCCGCCCTTGTCCAACACAAACGTTGACAGCGGGCGCTGGTGCATGCGGTGCTTCTTGTCATGCTGCTGTGCTGGCCGCGCTCGCGTGCAAGACGAAGGGCTTGAGCCCGCGATGGCTGACATCAGCTCATCCGCCTTCTCCATCACCAGCATGGACGGGACGAGAATATGGTTGTGGCGGGCACGACGCCCCTTCAGGTGGATGCCTCGGCGTGCTGACGTGGAACACACGCGTGTGTATGATGTTGATGTGGTGCCGTTACCAACTGTCGATGAGACTCGCCGCACACCTTGACCCCGTGCTGCCACTGTTGCTGCGGAAGACATTGCCTGTCTGCCGTCGCTACCAATCTGAGAGCAGGAGAGCGAAGCTTCGGTTGACGGCGAAAGCGAGGCACGCCTTGGACTCTTCCGTGCCACTTGCATGCAAGCACGCGATCTCCTCTGCTCGCCGTCGATATCTGATGGCGATGCTGGTGCAGAGCGCGCGCGTGGACGCTGCTGTGCCACCGTTGTCGCCGCGGCATCATCAGGCTGACTTGTTGTGGGGGATCGGTTGCTCGCTTGCTCGTCCGTGTCGCCAGCACTGCCGTCAGCCTGATCGCATTCGCGCACAGCACGCTCTCCGTTGGCTTCGTTGCTCCCCTGGTGCTGGGCTGACTCGGCCTGGCACTCCCCTTCTGCTGTCGCGGTCTGCTCTGTGTCGCCAGTGCCTGCTTGCACCTGTGAGCTTGCTTCTGCTGCCGCCGCTGCAGCTGCGGCTGCCTTGCTCTTCGCCTGGACGAACCAAGCGGGGCCGCGCGGCCTGTCGTGGTCTGCCTCCGTTGCTGCACTCCCAGCCTGTGGTGTCGAACACCAGGGCCTGTCCTCAGCAGCAAGTGAGATGATGGAGAGCGGGCGGTGCAGGTGCGCGCTGCGTCGCTTGACGGCAGGGTCCATCTCCCAATCAACGCGTGTCGCAGACAGGAAGGGGGTCCCCTGGCGCGGCTTTGGTGTTCGCAGACGCAGACCTGCGGTGTAACATCACACAACAGCATGAAGAGGAGTCGGATTTGTGTGATGTTGTTGTGAGCCACGAGATCGAATTGCAGGCACAGAAAAGCCACATCACGGAAGCTGGCAAGATCAACAAAGGTGCGTTGTTGTGCAGTCATCAAACAAGTACAGCAACCACTGCGAATTCACCTTGCATCATCACAGAGTCGCTGACTTGACGCATCATGGAATCGTGATTCATCGTCTCTCCGATGGCCACCTCCATAGATACGTGATTCCAGTGGTCCATGTTCGCTGGCCTCCACATCAAGCACCCTGACGAAAGGTCGCTGTCATCCTTGCCGCACAGCAGCAACGTTGGATTTGGCGGGCTCTTGGCGGTGAGGCGCTCAACCACTTGCATGGCATACCCCTGGTGTTAACAGTGAAACCACGCCACAAGGTTGGAACAGACGGACAAGCAACACACATGCAAGCGCAAGCAGAGGACAAAGAAATGTGAGACACAAGCAGGGTGTGTGTGACTTGATTTATTGTGCGCCCGCACATGCAACTGACTGCTGGGACACACGTACACACGTGACGGCGCATGCACACGTAACCGCGCACACGCACACGCAACAGAGCGTGCATACACCTTACAGCACACGCGCACACGTGAGAAGGCACATACCTCGCCGCTCTGG